GACCGACCAGACCGATTAGGCTCGACGCCGCGCTCGCTGTGGGGCTGCCACAAAGTCGCCGCCGAGCGTGCCACCGACGGCGTCCTGGCGGAGGTGATGGAGTGTGAGACCTGAGGCTGCGGAGGTGACGCCTGAGGTACCGGCCCGTGCACAGCGACCCAGCCGGCGACCGCCACGGGCTCAGGCGAGACTTGTCGACGCGTTCCGGCTCAGCTTCACCGTGGTCATCGGGCGTCTGTCGACGTCAGGACCACCCATACAGCTCGAGGGTTTGAGGTCGCAAGAGCCAAGATGGTGGCGTTTGGACATCCCAACCATCACACAAGACAGCCTGTAGGTGATGGCGGGACGGCGCAGTGTTTGTGGCACTCGGCAGTAGGCACCCGCGGCACGGCCCCGCTGTCGGCTCTCGCGGGCTGCGGAACCGGCCCCAGAAGGGGACGGTCCGGGCGAGTGTGGCAGCTCCTGCGCTAGCATGGGCACCCTGTATCATAGCACTACTGATCCTGGTCATAAGAGCTGCCAGGAATAGCGTCAGGAGCCGGTAGGAGTCAAAACCCCTCATATTTGAGACATCGTGTCCCATATACTCGCACAACGAGCCGTGTGTGTGTGTGTGTGTGTGTGTGTGTGTGTGTGTGTGTGTGTGTGTCACGTGTCTGATTAAGATTATGTAGAGACAAGAGAGTGCGTCCTTTGTGACCTGTGTCTTTCGTTTTGTGAGAGAGTTGAGGAGGGCCGGCGCTGACGTAAAACACGTAATACGAACTCGTACATCCCGTAGCTGACACGTCTGGCGAGTGATTGAGAGATGGACTCCGGTGAGTAATATATGCGACTCCGCGAATACTGACGTCTGTACGTCCAGGGAGAACAAAGCCTCAGTCCTGCTTCGGCTTGGACGCGGCCTCGGCGCCCGCCACCGCGTCGTTGACGATCCGGCTCAGCTCCTCGGCGGTCTTCTCGGCGTCGGACTTCTCCCGGTACCGCGCGGTGATGCCCCCCACCGCGGCGATGAGGCCCGACTCGACCACCATCGCCGAGAGGCTCTCGCGCCGCCAGCCCGACAGCGCGACGAGGATGAAGGCGGCGCCGAGCGAGACCATGGCGAGCAGCGCGAGTCCGTACAGCAGGATCTGCCGCGCGGAGAAGCCGGCGGCGACGAGCGCCTGCTCCGTCACGATCTCGGGTCCTCTCGGGTCCTCTCGGCGCATCGCACTCTCGGGTGGCTCTCGGCGACGAGCGCCTGCTCCATCACGGCGTCGAGCACCTCCTCCCACCCCGCCTCGAACTCGCCGAGCGAGACGGTGCCCTCGCCGTCGACGTCGAGCTGCGCGTGCAGCGCCACGAGCGCGCCCTTCT